ATAAGGAATGCAAAGTTCTTCACTTGAACAAAAATAAAGCGGTATGAAAAGGAGGTATGGTTTGAATTGAAAAGGATCAAAATGAAGCATCACGAAAATCCCTGACCTGAAGGGAAACAGTAAAATTGATAAACTAGTTTCGACGGAATAACAAAGCCACGTATTCCACAACTGCAATAATTTACAAGTGCTAGGCAGTATTCGGTTCACCTTGTCGACTGAATTTTTTCTGCGGACAAAAATAGTTTTGTAATAACAACGAGAAGAAACTAACTACAACATGTGATTTAAATTTTTATTCATTGTAACACTGTTAATAAAACTGAAAATTGTTATGAATAAAATCAATTATAATCAAAACAAAATCAATTACAATCGATAAAATGTATCAAAAAATTCAGTAACACTTGAAAATAGATGACGTTGAAATGCATAGGTGAAATCAAGAACAACAATCACTGCTTGGCATCTCACTGAATAAGTAGACTGATGTGGTGAGATTACAGTGCTAACAAGTAGCTGAGATTGAATCACAATTACATTAGAATAGACGAATTCGGAAGAGGAGTGCAGACTAAAGACAAAATTTGATAAAACAGAATTAAACACCAGAGAAGTACTAAAATTAGAATAAAACGGAAAACATAAATACATTATAGAAGCGAAAAACAGAAAATCAATAATATTGCCTAGACAAACATTGCTAAAGGAAAGTAACAATAACTTATAATTTGGTGACGAAATTTAATAGAACTACACATATAAAAATGTAGAAAATACAGTAAGAAATTATTGATAAAAAATACCAAAAAAGACCGGAACACTCGCAGAGTACAGTCATCTTCACCTTTGCTATGAGCGGTGAGTGTGCGTCTCGACGGTGCTATCCGTGAATTGATGAAAGGTTGTCTCTCTTCCTCCCTCGCTCGTCTCTCAGTGATCAACCTGCCTTTGCTTGATGTTTGCACCTCTGTCCATCCATTACCCCATACACTTTTCCTTACTCTCTCCTCTTAGTGCACTAAAATAATAAAATTAAGCGTACTAAAATACATTTAAAAAATTTCCAAGCTCCGCTCCAATTAATCTATCACTGAATTTTTATAATAGCTAGTAATTGTGCGCTGGGAAATCAACTATGAATTCTATCCTAACACTATCCTATGATCAAAAATTGAAGAAAAACAATTACAGAAGAAAAAAAAATCAGACACTTTCAAAATACAACGCTAAGAAAAGAGATAGAAGTGGAGTAAAAATATCAATCCATTGAAGCTGAAGAAAAATACCAAGACCGTTCTTTTATAAGTCTAAAAAATCATCCCTAGAAAGTAGTAATGAACTTTCTTAGATGATAATTAACATATTTGGCCAGTTTATTCTTCCTTGCTATCACCAATCTCTTGCGCCTCATTTTCTTCTCATTGGTAATCGACTGATGTGCCCCTGGGCACCAGTCGAGAACATGCACCTTCACAACAGTTTGTTTCCGAGTAAATGGCAAAGTGGCGGGGAGGACTGAATAATAGCCGCATACAGGGCAGAAGCCTGAAACCATTTCAAATTACATTTGCAAAATGGAAAAAATTGTTACAAACGAATGATAAAAATTTTAATTCTAATAATACCATCTCGTCTATGCATCCTTGAAGCATAGATGAACCAACCTTTAAGCATCTCGAAAAGGTGCAAACAGATGCTGCAGACTGAAAATTTATTATATTATCACGTTTTTCTTTTTAAATGTATAAGAAATTAAAACCACTCAAATTTCTGATGATTCGTACTTCCTTCTGCGAAAATTCATATTCCTTCTGCAAAAAAATGAAATTACTTACCGATCGAGGAAATCTGATTTTCATTAATTTCCTCTTCGTAAACGCTGTCGTTCGGTTTCTCTAATTTCTGCTTAGAATGACCCAAAAGTACTTCCACACTTTTGACGTGGAAGACTTGCACAGCCGACTTGACGGGCCTTGAAGTTGCGGGAACCGGAATAATAATCGTCCTATTTCTTCTGTAATGCTAATTAATTTTCAAAAAATATAGCACGAACAAAGTTTTGAAGTCTTTTATCAAAATCAAAAGCACTTACAGCACTCTTTCCTCCTCCGGTTCCTCCTGGACCTCCATCTCCATTAAAGCAGCCGGCACCTCAAACTTTTCATTCGCAGGCCCAGGCTGCTGCCCTCCCGCAGTCATCCGCTCTTCATTATTTTTGTCTGGAAGAGTCCAAGCCGTTTCTTCCTCATACATAACGATTCCAAACGATGCTGGTTGCTCTCCATTTCGACCGTTTCCTTCATCATCTTCGTGCAACGCTAATCGTTGGAAAAGCGTTTGCTCTTTCTAAAAGATTTGTATGAAAAAATAAGCATCAATATTTGACTTTACTGAAATTCATTCAGAACAGCTAAAGTAAGCATCTAATCGATTTTAGTGTCTGTTGAGTAAGCAAATGCTAAAGCTTAAACCATGTAAAATTAAATAAATTACATAAAAAGTTTAAAATTTTACCTGCGTGATTTCTGTGGTACATTTTTGGAGAGCACGGTACATGCAAGGGTTGCTCTCCAAAAACCGCAGATTCACAAAAGAATCGGGTGTATCCTTCATTTTGAAGACCATAGCTAATCTAAAAATACTATTTGATTTAATTAAATGCAGAAATGAGCTGCACTTCAAGACGAAACTACGTGCACGATTTTATTTCCATTAAGAACTCGTATTTTCCCAAATAATAATTTTTCCAAATCAAATTCAAATATTTCCGCTCATACGATCAGATATACAAAAATATAGTTATACTTCTGAAAAAAAGATTATTATAAAGGAAAAAACATCAAAATCGAACAAAGAAATTAATAAATGCCGAATCAATAACATTCTTTAAAACGTAAAAATCATTTCTTAAAATGAATCAAGTCTTACGATGAATTCTTAGACCAAAACAGTTAATCAAAACTGTATAAACTGAAAGATCAAAGGTTACGATAAGATCAAGGGAGAAAGTGGTTGGTAGAGCAAAGACTTTTTTAACCTTTTGTATAACTCACATGGACTTATACCCTTTATCCAATATTTGTGTTCATTTGGAAAATAGTTCATTCTGAATATATCATTCTGTCATTATATTTTTCATTTCGATTGCTGCGGTGTATGCAATGAATTTTCGCACTTTAGCATTTTTGGATCATTTTTCAAGTTTTATGCAAGAAGTTTCTTGAGAATAGCCAACTGTGAATTACAACTTGAGCACTCTCACTCTACTTTGATTAAAACTCGTTATAATCTCGTACAGATTAATTCAATACCAAGTCATCCATTATGTGTTGGTGGTAAACTTTCCCGCGATTTCATGAACTTGTAGAATTGACATTTGATTCTTACTACTCTCTCAAAAACTCTTTTGTTCTAATTTGCCGAGTTTTTCAAATAAATCAGATACTTCTCAATCTCAAATATATATCTTATGACTATAATTTTATGAACCTAATAAAATGTGTGCATTATGCGCTCAGCGTGCGTGATATACGGGAAACATCAGAGTGTATTTTATTAACAACAAGAAGAACTCGGAAGAGAAAGATTGAAATAGACAAACATTAATAACTCACATGGATTATTTACAATTAATAAGCAGTGAATGAGTCAAAAAATTAATAATGAAACAAGCAGAATACATTAACTTGCAGTGATGAAGAGATAAAATGATTGAGAAGAGCTTTGAACTGATGCAAAAAGTAACCTCTACCTGTTTTGACTACAGTGGAGCCATATAGTTTGCGTCAGATTATACTTGTTTACAAGCACCTACCCGATAACTCACAACTCAGTACTATTGCAATCAAAGAATTGATCTCTTATAAATACAGATGTAAAGTTCTAATTTAAGAAGTCAACTTACTTCTGTTGGAGCATCAAAAATATGGTTTGCTCTATGCATTCATCCTTGTAAGCAAGTGGAAATGTGTAATACACTGAACTGTCTGAAGAGTTGGGAAACTGTGCAAAAATCACTAATTTTGTTCTCAAAATAAAATTTCAAATATTCAAACCTTTTTAATCCATCTTGAAGTTACTCACATCACTGCTGAAACTTTTCTTTCTAGACTAGTCTAGAAATGGGTGAAGCTGTATATCTCAATGAAAGTGAAAGAAAAAAGTGGAACAGTGTAGTTACCTTATTCTTATTAAAGACTTTCTGCTATAAAGAAGCGAGGCTGATAAAATTAAGAGCATTTTCGAATAGTTTTCAAG